CAAAAAACCCAACACAAACATATCCTTTCTAATTTAGAGTTCAACTCCTCAAAATGTGACAAGTGCTTCCTGCAAACTATTTTAAAATGATGAAAAGGAAAACACTTGTAGGAAATGTTGATAGAGAATATCATCTTCTCTCTGAAGTGTTTTCTGATAAGTACTAAAGGGTCTGTCAATGACATTTAATATTGTTGCAGCAATTTAATGTTATTGTAGCAAATAAAGTATGCAAGTAAATCTACTTGCTCTTTTTGCTTTTTTACACTTGAATTTGAGATTTTTTTTTTAAATGTCAAAAGGTACTTATAGGAGATGGATATTAGCTTATTTTAAGAGTTTCATTAGGCTGCTGTCCAATCCAAAAGATCCAATTGATCACTCTTTACGGAGTCAAAAGATTTTGGATATCTCTCTTGATCTTTTTTGAAATGGAAAAACCCCAAATATGATGCATTATACATGGGATAAAACCATATCTAATTCTATCCAAATCAGCTGAGACAAAAGGAGGTGGGTATTAACTGTTCACGTTTACAGCATGGATGGACATGAAAGTTTGTTTTCATGCTGATGCACAATCTGTAGAAAATGCAATAGTCTAGAAATGTGCTGAGCTAGCATAATGCTTCTGCATGCCTCGAGGCTGGCGCAGGGATACACAGCGCCGTTACACCGCTTTGTCGTGCTGTTTTGGTGGACCCAAAAAGGCTTCAGAACCAGCCTTGAGGGCAAGAGTGAGGAAACCATGGAAAGCCAAGGACCGTCCCCTCCCGCAGCGCTCTGAGCAAAATTGGTGAATTAAAGAGAAAGAGCCTTGTTTTCCTACTTTCTATGACAAAAAGTAAGCTACAGCCCACAGACTGACACTAACCAGCAGGCAGCACTGCATCAAGGTAGGGATAATGTTTTTAGGAGGGAGGGAGGGTGCTGCTCTGCGCAACGGTGTGGTACAAAGGCAATAAATTGTTTCAAATTCCTGAGGCTGGGGAAAGGGCTCTGGCTGCCTTGCATTACTCTTAAGGTTAAACTAGCATAAGCAATGTGTGGTACACAAATGTGCAAGAGGCACTGAGTCACATCCCTTTCTGTCACTAGGCGATCTATAGCCAACACGCGACGGGCAACGAGGTGGGTTGTGTGTTGCTTTGGCCCCGGTCACGTTCCCCCGTTGGTGCCAGAACACAGACACTGCAGGACAGCAGTGTTCAAATGATGCTGTAGTTTGTGCTGATGCAGTATCTTACTAGCTTTGGCAATATATGTCTCCCTCTGTCCTGGTTGCTGTGATCTCTCATATTCTGAGAGGCGTGAAGGCAAAGAATGCTGAAGGTGTAGGTAGGAAAACTTCCTTTTTCCTTTCTTCGCTCTTTCTGCCATCCACCCTCTGATCCAGATCTCAGTCACTGCCTCCATCTCGTACCCTGTAATCACTTTCCCTTTTCTGCAGCCAATGTCCTTTTGTTTTGCTATTTTAAATTATTTTTTAATCCCTCATTTTATCGTTAAGAAACACCTACAGATTTTTAGCTATGGCTTTCAGACTTGCACAAAAAAGGGAATTCCGAGTTCTACATGTTGTTGGTGACAAAACTGGCACAGAGGGACGGTGTGATT